AAATTAATTGACTTATTTAATTTTACTTATTATTTAATATCACATTAAAACCATCTAAATTGTGATTGTAAATCTAGTGTGTCTAAATAGTATTACTCTACTTAAAAAATTCTAAAAAATCATTTGAGTCAACATTTTTCCCACAACAAAAATGTTAGATATACACTCCAAGTATATATTTACATTAACATTGGATGTATTGTTAAAAGAAGATTGGAAAAAAATTATTTATTATTTTAAACTGTCCTATAATGCATAACGTGGCAAAGTGTAAATGATGATGTACAACATGATTATATGCCAAAATAAGAGAAATTATAAATGTTTTCTTTTTTAAAGAAAAGGGCATGATTTAACGTAATGTACACATTAATATTTAAATATATTTAGAGGGTGTTTGGTAGGGATTAAAATTAGATTTTAAGTGGATTGTGGTAAAACTTTTTGAAATGTGTGGTTGAAAATATGTGAGATCCATGAAAAATATGATTAATATTGATTGTTTGACTTTCATTTAGATTAAAATCAGATTTTAATCAGGCCCAAACAGACCCTTAATATGCTGATTTAGCTCGTCTCGATAAAATTTTATTAATCCTGCATTTTAAAATAAATAATGTTATCTAACACTAGTAGTGTTTTACAACAATTTAAGTGTCACATATATTATTATTTCTTGTATTTAATTGAAAATGTAATTTAATATTTTTAATGCTACCATCTGATTTGTGTTAAATAATATTACTCTTTTGAAATTGGATGTTAAGGAGTCATAGCCCTTGTTTAAGCCTCATTTTAGGGGGAAAATGTATTTTGAAATTGTTTTTTGGAGACTGGGTACAAAAAAAATAAGTAAAAAAAATTCAATTTATGTGTAAAATTATTTTTTTGAAGAATGTGTAGTTGAAATAAATTTTTAAAAATAAATCTTTTAATAAAATGGGGCTCAAATAAGGGCCTAATGTTTCAGTTGAGTATATAATTTGTTGGTGAATTATTTTATAATCACTTTTAGCCAAACATAAATAATTTCATTTTGGAGGAAAATATAATGTGATTACAGTGGAGACGTGTAATGAGTCCCACAATATATGTAGATAATAAGTGAATAGTAATTTTTTGACTTTATATTATAGGTATATATTATAATGAACTCTAAACAAGCGCTTAAGTCTGGACATTTTAATCGAAATCGAACAAGAATAAGATGTTCCAATTCAATTTTATAAAATAATTTAGGAGCGGAAATCTAGAATCGACTGGTCTTGGGCTGGTTCTTGATTCCTGAATTAAAACCATGGATACCCGAATGAAATCGATTTTTTTTATTATTATTATTATTATTTTTTATACGCTAGATAAAAAAAAATTGCAAAACCTAGAAACTCTCATTTGGGTTGTAATTTATTTGAAACTCTAGAAACTAACTCTAAAAAATCATGATTGACCCATATGTTTTTGCCACTCGTCTCAAATTAGATTGTTGCATTATATTGATATATTTTTATCTTTGAAATTTGGGCTTTTTATAAATCAAAAAGTTCAAACTAGGATTCTAGTGTAGACGATGAAGTAAATCGTCCATTCTTTGCAATTCGATCTTTTATTTCTTGCATTATTTACCAATTTAAGTGATTATTAATTTTTTTTATAACGAGTAGCAACTGAACTTGATATATTCATAATTTGGATTCGAGAGTACCTTTTTATTATTTCAAGTTCGTAGTTCTCTTTAACGTAAAATTTTTCCTCTTATAATCAAACATAGAGAGTTCAATATGCGCACTGCAATTTCTTGATATTATATAATTATATATATAATTAGTATTTTTTTTATGCCAATTAGTTTTAAAAGTATTAAAATTTAAGCATTATCCATAATTAAAGTATATGCTCTAACATGCCATATTATGGATCAAATAAGATTATTAAGAAAAAAACATTTCTTCAGGCACTGAAGCTCGGTCCATATTTTGTTATAAATTCAAAAGAAAAATCAAACAAGAAACCAATCAATTTTGATTTTGTCATTTCAATATTCATAGAACCATTTGTTACTATTTGCGAGATTTCAATTGATATTCGATTAGTTCAATTCTTAATATTTATTGAAGTTAGACCTTATTAAACCATGTTAACTCCTAATTAATTTTCGTCGTAACATTTTTATTTTCAATTACAAATGACTTTTCATTTGTTCTTGTAATTTTACTTTAAGGCCCCGTTTGATTGGCTTCTTTTTCCATGGAACTAAGAAAATTTTTTCCGTTTTCCATCTTTTGCGTTGTTTGATAGCNCTTTTTGGTAATGGAAACAAATTTTATAACCAATTGTGGAAAAAAAAAATCACTTTCATGGACAATTTCCATATAAAACAAAGCTAAACGAATAAAAAATTTAAAAATTTTCCGGGTGGAAAATTATACCAATCAAACACACTTGAAATCATTTTCTCTGCAAAACATTTTCTAGGCAAAACTTTTCCCTGTAAAACATTTTCTTTCCATCAATTTTCCACCATTGCAATCAAACGCACCCTTAGTGAAACATAATTAGTACTCAAGTATTGAGCTCAATTGTCACAACATTCTATAATTTTTTCACTATTATAATTTTTGATATCGTATTTATAATTTTCATTAAATCGTATATAAAAGAAAACAATACAATATATAAATTTTGTATTTTTTTTTTTTGTTTCGGTACTATCCTGTACATTGGTCCTGAAGCCTATTTGACATGACTTTTACTTCATATAGAAGAGATTTAGAAGGAAAATTATTATTTTTTGTTTAAAAATTAATTTTTAAAGACATTTTCTATTCTAAAAGTACTTTTAGAAGAAATCACATTGAACTGATTTCCTATAAAAACTCTTCTAATTGAAAAAAAACATTTTTATAAAATTAGTCAAACAGGTCAAAAGTTGCTTTTGGACCTCAAAAGCTCCTTTTAATTTTTCAAAAGTCATGCTAAACAGACTTTTAATAATGTTGAATAAATAGTTAAAATGCTTATTTTTCAGACCTTAAAAGCTTCTTTTAACTTGTTAAAAATCATGTCAAACGAATCCTTAATAATTTGAATAAATAGTTAAATGTCTATTAAAGTTCAAAAATGCTGTGCGCACAAATTTGTTCTACGAAATTTTTACCAAAAATTTGAATTTTACTCACAGGGAAGTGGGCCCATGGGTTTAAAAAATTGATTTTTCTAGAACTCATTAAAGTTGGATGCATGTTTCGGTCCTATAAAAGAATATTATTTGGTTAATTAAGGGTTTATTAATTTGCAACCGTCACCGACCAAATCTCACTTTAACCATTAAAAGGACCCACAAAGCGTGTGTATGTATGCATAAAGAGTAATATATATCCATAGGTTGCGGTAATCTTGCCACGTGTCAATAAAACTCCTTTAGCTCGTTTGTTCACACACACATATTTTTTTAATAAGCCATACCATACTTTTCAAAAATATAATTTTAATAATAATTTTTAGAAGAATTTATAGTTAAAAAGTAGATAAAATTTTTAAATTACGTTCAGAATATTTTATTGTATGAATGTGTGTGGTTTAAAAAATTGAATCAATATCACATTCACCCCCAAATTGCCATAGCAATTTTACACATAATTGTCTTTGAATTTTGATACCAATTGTCGCAGTATTACATAATTTTTATATATTTTAATTTCCACTCAACATTAAAGCCAAAAAAGTAAAATAAAATAAAATAAAAAGTGTTATAATAAATTATTAAAAGCGTTACTTTGAATAATAAATGTTAATTAAAAGTTGATTAAAAATTGCAACCGTAGCCGACCAAATCGAAATGGACCCACTCAGGTTGCAGATGGACGAGATTGTGCTGCTTTTGTTCAATATTTCTAGTTTGGTTAGTTGGACCAGAAGTCTAAAAACGTTTAGGAAAAGAAAAAGATTAATTAATTTAAGATATTATTTATAATTAATGGTTGGAAGGAAGCAAACCGACTCATCAAACTTGACTCACTGCTCACTCTTTGACTTTTACAACTAATCCTTGACTCATTTGGGCGACACAATGCTATTTTGCAAATGATCCAAGAAAATTGGATCAATTTTTATCGAAGAAATTGCATTTACTTGGTAGTAACCCAAATAAATTTTTAATATGTTTGGTGTCTATTTGTTTGAGATCGAGTTATATACAACTTCATTACAGCCCTGATATATGTTGAATTTTTGTACATCGATTGTACGAGACTTCTTCTATCCAAATATAGGTGTAGCATGATTGCTCTTACTATATAATCGTAAGTTATTAGAACTATTCATATGTGACATTATAAATACTGTTAAATATACGGAGCCAATTAGGTTCCTCAATTATTTTGATTTCTATTTGTTAATCCTTACACTACATTGTTGTCGTGTAGAAATGATGTTCTCAATCTTCATTTAGCGTAGAAGAATGAAAAATAAGTAAAACCCGAATATGAAAAATAAAAGAACGTAAGATGTATAGAGCAAGAGAAGCTAGAGAGATGTGTATATATATGGACTCGAGTTTAGTGTTCGAAGTCCTTATGTGTGCACATGCTTGTTGCTTCATATTAGAGTTGTGTAATGCAATATGTTTAATATGTTAAAAACCGGTATGTTGAATTGCCAATCTCTATTGATGTGAATCCTAAACCACAACCTTTACCAAATGTTATGATTAATAACCATAGTTATCTTTTTGCATCTTCTTGTTTTATAGTGCCAAAGACAACTTTAGTCGTTGAATTATTCATATTCCGTATTTGAACACTTAACAACATCGAGTAATATTTACAAATATCATATTATACGATCTTAAAATGTTTACAAAGCAACAATTCAAACTGTGTGAAGGAGAACTTTATAAACTCGTTCCCCTAAATAAAGAAGAATAAGAAAAAAAAGGGACCAGAATCCAACTACTTAGTAGCTTTCGAGATTCAAAACCTAATTAAGCAACCAAAATGACCAATCTAAGCAGCCGAAGGGGCGGTGATATAATGAACAACACCAGCCTCCGTGAGCAGCGCCGGTGTCGATTTAGCATTAGGCCTGCGAGCCCTGTTGTAATCCAAAGTCTCGTCATTATATATGTCCCGCCACTTGTTGACTAACATTTTGATGTCTTCCCTGTCCATGTTTTCTTCTTCGCCAGTATACCTCCATGGCTTGGAGCCTGCAGCACAGTAGTGGACCACCTTTACTTCATCAAGCTTCATGTTCTCGGGATGGCGCCACAGCATTGCCAAAACCAAGTTGTAATTATTGGGAATTGGCTTGTAAATATCCTTGAAGAACATGTTCAAGAAATCCTGCAAAATTTAACACATTAAGTTTCATTTCATTTCATACAACTAATTGTCAAAGAATTTTCTGATTAATGACTGCGTTGTTACCGGCTCAGCAAATGAAGTTGGAGTTGTAATTTTGAGTTTGTGCAACAGATCATGGTAGGTGGGGAGACTGGGTTCAAAAACAAACATCCCAGCATTGAAATAGAGAGGAGGCTTAGGGCCTAATTCTTGAGGCCAATGGACCTTATCTGGGCACTGCTGGCAATACCCAATCTTGAATTGTGGGGTGTGACTCCATGTCTTCTCACAAAAACAGTCCATCACTGCATAGAAATACTCATTTGGCAAATCAAAGAGGTGATCTATGTTGTCAAAAACCTCTATGTCTCCATCCAAGTATATCATCTTGCTGTACTCCACAAACTGCAATAAAAAACAAATGCAATTGAGCATAACATCAAACATTTTCTGTTCATATTTGATTCTTGAAAATATCAAGGTTTTTTTACCTCCCAAATCCGAAGCTTGGAGTAGTTGATGACATAATAAGCCATGGCGAACTGGGTCTGGTTCTCAGGAGGATAAACCGGTTCAATTTCACGCACCATGCATCCCTGGTTAACCAATATGCTGCGGTGCTCCTCCGGGACGTCCGGCAGAACAGCCACCACAAGTGGGTACGCAGTGTTCACTTTCCTCAATCCCTTGGCCAAGCCTACGACTCCTTTCACATAGTCACCGTTGCCTGCCAAGAAAGTGACATAGGCACGGCTAGACAAACTGGCCGCCTTAACTAGACCACCGGTGGCAGCCCTCATGGTTAATCCTGCTTTAAGATTATTACGAGCCATTCTAAAATCGCAAAAAGGGAGGAAAAACTTCACAATTAAGAGAAAAAAAGGAAGGGTTTTTTGAATGTATTTTGTTATGCTAAGATAGTATTGTTCAGTTTGTGGATTGTTGGAGTGATTTGTGTTACATTATATAGAGCTGGAACCGAGAGCGGAGTGGCGTGGGGGTATTATGGTGAAATGTGAATGGGAAAAGAAATGTTACAACACGTGGACTAATATAATAAGGACACGTAAACAGTATGTTTGCATTTGATAGGGCACTATAAGAACGACGTCGTTTAAGCATTATATTATTACGAAATGAAATTAGAGTCTACAAGTGGCTAGCAGCTGCAATAGTCGGTGCAAGGAAAATAACAATTACGTTATTTGACAGTAAAAGAAACTTTGGTCCCACCATTATTTTTTCTAGAGGAAATTGTAAAAAATGTCCACTTTTACATAGTCATTTATAAAAATGTCCAAAATTTCTTTTTACATAAAATATAGACCAAAGTGATATTAACTATTTTAAATTCCACAATAAAGATAAAATTATTTATATAATTAAAAATTGTATTGACCAATAGTGACTTGACACATAATCTATATTACTCATTTTTAAAAAGTACCATGTCAATTATGCATTAAATGCTCACTTCTCCCTATAATTAGGAAAATAAAACATTTATGAAATATCAAGAAATACACTTAAAATGTAGAGAATATTATAAAATGTAGAGAATTTTCATGTTCACAACGAAATCTAGTTCTAAATAAATGAAGTGTTATATGTCAAGATAAACATGGTACAAATATCGATGAGAGCTTTTAAAATGTCGAAGAATATCGTAAAATGTCAATAATAACAACTATTAAACACAATTTATCAACAAAAATAAGATTTTAAAGAAAAACTACCTTCTATCGATAATTGTGGAAAGTCTAATCAACTGTAAATTTGGATAAGATTAAATTATTCGAAATGAAATTATATGATTTTCTTATTAATTGGAAGCATATAATTATTTTTCAGCGTTAATGACTTTTCTACTTCATCTTCTTCATTTTTCTCAAAATTCGTGACAAATTGAAGGGGAAAAAAAAAACTTCATTTTTCATTGAGGGTATAATAGATAATTTGGTATCAAATTTGGCCATTTTTTCAAAAGTTATCAAAATTAGATACTTTTCAATCGACAATTATGTAATTGACCATTTTTTTTGTAAATTCCCCTTTTTTCTATTTTTAAAACATTTGACTGCAAAATCGGTGTATTGACAGTTTTCTTCCTTTTGTTGCTGAACCAGATCTACAAGTCTTCAGTGGTCTTTTCTCTTTTGGGAAATTTTTCAGCTAAAAAATAATAATTTTTTCGAAGAATAAGTAATTAAAAAATAAAAATAAAAAAAATTGTCGATTTCACTGAGATTTAATTGTATGGTTAAAAATATCTCTCCCAAATAAGTCTTAAATAATAAACTTCCAAAAAAAATTATTTATTTGTTATTTTTTGGGAAAAAAGTCGTGTTGTTCGGAACTTTCTTTTATTGCATATTTGTTTCTTTCATCTTCTATTTTGAATTATTATTATTATTATTATTATTATTATTATTTTATCTCATCAGATGATTGCATTATTATTCGATAATAATTATATTTTGTTTAGCATCCAGATTTTGCTGTAATTGCCGACCTTTTCGGTAAGCTACTGGGAAATTGGGTGCTCATTTCGTGTAGTTCTCGAGTGACATTTTTCTTATCAAGAGACCTTTTAAATAAAAATAAATTTATTAAAAATAAAAATAAAATAAAAAAGAATATATTTGGATCAAACTTAAACGGTAAAATAAAATAGTTTGTTCATTACTTCTTGTTATTATTATACCCAATAAATCGAAATAAAAATAATAATTGACTCATCAATTGGTCACGATACAAGATTGTGGATAATTATAAGACGACATATAAAGTTTTCCATTACTTCGATGGAATGATTATTATTTGATAGAATTTGCTTTTGAATAAAGGATTGTATTTTAAAAGATCTTTAAATCCCGAGCTCGCTAAAGAATGAACTATTGACAAAGTTTTCATATTGTTCATTCTTATATCGTCATTATAAAGAGAAATTAGGGGAAAAAAAAGATATTTGAAATAGTGATTTATTTGGAGAAAAAAATTTGTTTACGCACATAATATTTTCTTTTGTGAATGTGGAGTTTAAAATAAGTACGAAAACAAAGAATTTTGAAATAAAGAGTCGGACAAAGGATGTAGTTCTTCTTTGGTTATTTGATAGTTCAGTAGAGTAAAATTGACCGGCCCAACAAAAAAAAAACTTACATGTTAAGATACATTGTTTGTACACAAATATCGATTAAATCAAATAAATTTTCGAAAATCAAGAACTCAAGACGAAGTTACATCAATTTGTCAATTTCTTCTCAGTCAACGGGGGAGATTTTAAAGATTTATTGAACTTACGTGCACCTCATCATAGACGATTTTCGCAACTTCTTAGGAATATTTGGAAGGATATCCCTTTTATTGGATAACGCCACAGTTAATTTTCTTGCTGGTTGACCGTTGGCAACTGTCACCGACCAAATCTTATCCATTAATTGGACCCCACAAAACGTGGTGACATCAATAGGTACCAAATACTAAAACCCTATGTTCTAAAAAGCTCGTTTTTAAATTTAACCCACAGCCATTAAGATTATTATCAAGTAGTGAAATTATATAACTCAAAATAGAAGTGTTTTTCATTTATCAATGATTCTATAGTGAAAATGGACAAACGTAATCTGGGCTTCTACAATTAAGAACTCGTCTGAAACTGTAATCTGGGTTTCTATAATTAATCGAAAATCATTTGTTGTGAATTTTTATTTTGTATATTCATATGACATATCAATTTGAGATTTCGAAAGAGTTAATTGTAATTTGTAGCCCTCATAAATCTGATGCATGGCAATGATTCCAAACTGATTGTGGAATAACTCATGTAGAAAAATCTGGAAATTTAATCAAGAAAACTTTTTAGTCCTTGACGTGAGGCCCAATCAGTGTTTAACTGTTATGTAACTAAATTTTCATTTGTTTTCACGTTCATATGCTTTTTAGGTCTAGCTTTTGTAAATAATAAACATTTGTATTGTTTATCTTTTTTTTGTAGTAACCAATGGAAGAAGATGATTTCTCAACAACATCTAAATTCCAAGCTACTTTATGAATGAATTATTAAGTAAATCCAGTATTTTATAATTTTAGATGTTTGGTATGTATTATTTGAATTGTTGAATTTTTTTACAATGATGAAAAATTTAAAATAAAAAAACGCTTTTCTGCGCCTAAGCTTCGCCGAGGCCCCCATAAGCTCATAAAGCTTGAAGTTTGGTCTCCACACCTAATTACGCTTTACGCTTTTTAGAACACTGCTAAAACCGATTAAAGTCAGTGTGACATTGAGTTCATGTTTGAGTTTTAATATTTATTTTCAACACTAATGCCTCTTATATAGAAGCTGGTTCACAGAATCTCTACAGAATTTTAAAATCTCTGACGAGGTATTGACTTTCGGAAAACAAGAAGAAAAAGGGAAAATCCCGCCACAAGAACCCTCTCTCCCTAGATATGAAGTTGCGAAATCGACTGTCGACAAAAGCGAAATCCCAGCTCATCTGATCCATACTTCCCCGCGGCACGACATTGACGATCACCAGTATTCTCTCCCAAATTGGAACCTCGCTCCTCGATTGTGAAGATGGTGATGCCCAACTCTCGCGACGACCAAATCCATTTCACAACTTCTCAACAAGCTCATAATAGATTCCATAATTCCATATCTTGAACGAAACATAAATAATTTGTTAAAAACCTCAAAAATCTTACATTTTCAAAACATGTACAGTGGGTGCGACGAAAGATCAATCGTTGGCGCTTTATGCAGTCGATAATAGTTTCAAGGCTAAATTGACTTATTTGTTGTTTAGTGGATCGACGACAGCCGGAGATAGTGACGAAAGCGATAGCAAAATCAGTAAGAATTAAGAGTTTTATATTTTGGGTTTGAAGGGGAATTGATTGGGGAAAGTGGTCGTCTTAGGTAGGTTTTTTGTTTTCAAAATTTACGGTTTTTTTTAATAATGTTGAACAGCTCATCTGGAAGACTTCTGTGAACCGTCTTCCGTAAATGTGGCGGAATTATATTTTCAATATATATTTTTTTAATAAAATAATTTTGCACGTAAGTTTAAAATTTTCTCTACTTTTTAATCATACATATCAAGAAATCATATTATAATTTTTTTTTTATTGAGTAAAAAATTGAGACTCAGAGACGCTGAAGTTCATGAACCAAAAATTTAACACTGAAGAATTGTTGAACGTGGGCTTCATTACGGCTTTGACTTCTCTTGAACATCACTTCTAATGGATAGCTTTATTTGATGTAATTAATATTTTTAGTAAATTTTAATAAAAATTGATAAAATACGTAAGTAAAAGAATTGTGAATTTTATGAAATATATTATTAAAATTAACAATTAATTTTGACTTTAAATAAATTTTAATTTTAATCGACGTGAAATAGGGGCATAGTATTATTAGTTTTGCTATACACACAGAAATGGGAAAAGTTCACGTGTCAGTTGTTTTGTTTGCCATTTTAAAAAATCAGTTGCTAAACTTTAAAATTTTAAAAATCAGGTTTCTACTTTTTATTAATTAATTAAATATTTAATTGCGTAATTTGATAGCTTATATCTTATTAATTGGTTAAAAATTAATTTCAGGTCACAGCTTATCAAATTAATTGGTGTAGGATTATTTCGAGGTCACAGATGAAAAAATTTATAGGTCACAGTTAACTTCGTTGGTCACAAATAAAAAATTTTAAGGTCACAGATAATTTTTCAAAGGTCACAGATTAAAAAAATTCAAAACTTTTTCGGGTCACAGCTCTATTTCAACGAGTCACAGTTCCAATTTTCAGGTCACGGACACCACCAC